GGTATTTACTGTTTTTTGTTGTTGTTGTATTGATACTTTGTAAAGCTACTGATGTTACTCTGTGGCTTGTTTCCATACTGCAATTGTCGGCATGGAATCAAGCCATACTGACAATAGCAGTACAAAAAAGAAGACATTTTTTTTTAGCTGGTTTTATTTTGACTTCAGTTCAATTTTATTTGGTTTGTTTTCTATTTTCTATTTATTTATTTGGTATGGACATAACAATAGCATTAGACAGATCAGATACATTGTTTTTAGTGTTATAGCAAGACTGCTAATTTGCAACACCTGTCCATATAAGGCTAGGAGAGCCCCTACACGAAACACAACACAATACAAAAAAAAAGAAAACAAAAAAACAATGCAATACAGTACACAATACATTATTTAAAAAGGTAAGTAATACATATTATAAATGTCGATTTCATTTCATACATGTGTGCAGCTTTGATTTGACTTTAGCCACTGTTTTAGACCTCTATAAAAACTGTTCATGTCAGTCTGCAGTTTTAAATCACTGGGCCGAGAGTTTCACCTGTCTCTCTGTGTTTATTATGTACCTGTGTTTATCTGTGTGTCTACATGTACCTGTGTGTCTCTCTGTGTTTATTATGTACCTGTGTTTATCTGTGTGTCTACATGTACCTGTGTGTCTCTCTGTGTCTATATGTACCTGTGTCTCTCTGTGTCTACATGTACCTGTGTCTCTCTGTGTCTATATGTACCTGTGTCTCTCTGTGTCTCCTGTGTGTCTGTGTGTCTATACAGTATGTACCTGTGTCTCTCTGTGTCTCCTGTGTGTCTGTGTGTCTATACAGTATGTACCTGTGCTTCTCTCCCCATGGTGCTGGTCCATTGTCATGTCTTTGCTTGTTTCTGGTTCCCTTTGGATTTTGAGTTTGTTTCTTCATCTTGGACTTTTATTTATCGTCATTAAATCGTTCCTTTTGGGTCCTCTTTCTCTTCACCGCGTGACAGATATGATTTAAGGCTGTGCTGTCATTTCCAAAGTAAAAACTCGGAGTAATTTCCCAGACTTTAATTGAGTGAACAAGCTCTCTATGAGCGCTCAGTCTCTGTATTTATTTAATTGCAAAAACCCCCTTGTCAACCTGTAACCACGCTGCGTGACATCGTTTGAAAGTATAAATACATTTCTGAAGCACTAATGACGCCTCAACCTTTGATTCCCCTCTGCAAATGAGAATTTATCACCAAAACAGAGTTTTTAAACGGGAAAGACCTTCAGGTTGTCACAATGCTGTCAGAAAGATGAACCTCGGCTCTGACGTAACCCTGGGTCTTATTCTGTAATAACTGTGTGTGATATAAACAAGTCTTCTCTCAAAATGTTATTGGAGTGACCCTCATAATGCCACCTTAGCGACACAATAAAGTGATTGATGTGTCTCTGAAATGGCTGTTAAGACTGTGCCACAGCCACAGTGTCAATATTCTGGGTTGAGAGACTCATTGGCTTAATAAATCAGGATTACTCACAGACCTCTGCCAAGGTCTAATAATCATATTTTATAAAAACAAAAGAAAGTTGTTCTAGTAGACCTCTGCTCTCAACAACCTTATACCAGATTATACCAGACTTCCTGCTGTAAAAGTGACTATAGCTTAACAGACTCGTACTCAGTCCTGGATCTACAGCCTGTCTGTCCATGGTCCATGATCCCTCTTTCACGCTGGGTCTCCCTGAGGTTTCTTCTTTTTTGTCTACTGGTTTTTGAGTTTGCCAGGCAGGGGATGAACACTTATGGATATTGGTTTCCTTGTTAGCCTATGGACTCTTCAGCGTTTTTGTGTTGTCTTTCTTCAGTGTTTCTAAATGTTTGGGTTTCTTATCTGCTGTTGACGAATAGACAATTCTGTGATTTTGGGCTTTACAAAAATACATAGTATTGAAATACATCATTGATATCCTTGTTCCCTTCCAATTTCCATCAACAAATATTGATTCCACAATTTCACTGTGGCTTCTGTTCTTTCTCTTCTGTCTGAACCAAAGTGTGCTTTCTCATTTCAACTGGAATCACCTCCTGTTCGCCTGCTCCGGCCTTTGTACCGCTCAAGCCTGCTCCGCGATAGAGCGGATAGGAACACGGATTGTACTATCTCCTATCCCGTGTCCTATCTCCCCCACAACACACTGAGGAGCCTAGGACATAAATCTGGAGTATTTACAACGGCTGCTGCAGTCAGCTCTCTGCTAGGACGCCCTCCCCCTGCCCCCTCCCCATTTTCTCAGCACAAGGTTACTCACGTTTAATACTCTTGTCACATATCGCCTTTTGGATAGTGTTTCTCGATTGTCTAGTTTTGAGTGATTGGACAAAGTTTGGTGAGCGGAGACAAAGGTTGATATCGGACACTGGGAATTCCTGAGTCTGAGCTTTACCATGGGTGTGTTTTTGTGCTTTGTCACGATTCATCTTTCAGCTCGTAGTACAGAGGGAGAATGCTAATTTAGTGCACTGCAAGTTGTCATCTCACAACGGTCCGCTCCCATTAGCAGGTCAGAGCGAGTAATGTAGTTTGACAGTATATAAAGTGAGAGATACAAATTGTGTTGACGCTTTGGCCATGTGGTACATAAAACATTCAACACTCATTTAAAGGGAAAAGAATAGCAGAATGAATGAGAGTGGCTTGAATCATTAGGTCAAGTCAAAATAGTGTAGCAACTGGGGACCCCCCTCCAAATGTTCATGCTCAGTGGAGGATTTGACCTCTGCCCACGACACAAGGCGAAACATGCAAACTCCACAGAAAGGCAGTGGACCGACACGGGAAATGAGCCAGCCCCTTTGAGTTTTAAGCTTTGGACGTAATGTTTGGCCGTTTGGCAGTAATCCGTGAAGTCAAGCTTTAGTTTATGTTCCCTTTAATATAATAATAATAATAGTATTTTTTTTTTTGTATTGCACTTTTAAAGTAGAGATAGAGATATTTAACAATGTGTAAACAATGAAAAACAAGTTAATAACATTATTTATATATAAAGTTACGTTTGAAAAATTACACAACATTGTCATGTATCCATCTACTTACTGTTTTACAACAACCGTCTCATAGACTTCAGGTGTAAACTAGCACTCCTGCTGTAACCTGGTGCAAAGCACCTCTCCTTTTGTCATCTCTGTCCTTGTAAAAATAAAATCATACCAAACCATACTCAGGAATAATATTTGATGTGTGGAAGAAAAGATAAAATCCCTGGTGGTGGGAGCTGGGAGAAGGGGGATAAAGCTAGTCCGCGTCGAAGCAGTGATGGGGAGGAGGAGGGTTGCTGCATGAATGACAGCTTCCTGAGATATGAAGGCTTGATGCAGGGCAATGCTTATTGCTGCTGGGTGAGGATTGGCAGAGTGGTTGTCACGGGTAAACAAGGAAGGACCCAAAAGCAGAACTGCAAAAATAATATAATTTAATAAACGCCACAAAAAGTACAACTGAAACCGGGTACAAGACATGGGGGAAAAACAACAATGAACCAACAACAAGAGGACAGGAGCACAGGGTCTAAATACATACAGGTAGACACAGGTGTAGCACATCAGGGAGGGGCAAACAATCAACGAGACAGGAAGTAAAACTTACGACAAGAGAACAAACATATCAAAATAAAACCAGATACATCAACAGAAAGTCCACACCATGACAGTACCCCCCCTTCTAGGACAGATGTCCCAGATGTCCAAAAAACAAAAAAACTATCCCAGGAGGGCAGAGGGAGTCAGGAGGAGGACGTACTGGAACCCAGAGTAGACCTCTCTCGAAGAACAGGGCACAGGAGACCACCCCGGACGGAAAACAATGTCCAGCGGTGGCACAGAGTCACAAGCAGAAGACGACCATCCCAGACGGAGACTATAGTCTGGCGGTGGTCACAAATCGGAGGTAGAGAGGTCATCAGTGGGGAGCAGACGAGAAAAAAAAAAAAAAAACCTGATGGTGGGAGAGGTACGGCCAGCATCTCGGGTCAGGGACAAGGAACACGCAGGAGCTGGAACCCAGTGTAGACCTCCAGGTCAGGACAGGAGCAAAGGGAACCACCCCAGGCGGAGACAAAATGCCCGGCAGTGGCTCCGAGGGAAAAACAGGAGACCACCCCAGATGGAATTCTTATCTGGCGGTGGTTCAAGGTGAGGTCCACAACTGGCAGAAGGCATGTAGGCAAGATGACCTTGGCAGAGATGAGGTCCAGAAAAATTATCAAGGTGTGGGTAAAAAAGAAAAGCAGTCTGCGGAGTCCAATAGTGGTCGGTTCATTCTGTCACGGGTAAACAAGGAAGGACCCAAAAGCAGAACTGCAAAAATAATATAATTTAATAAACGCCACAAAAAGTACAACTGAAACCGGGAAGAACACATGGGGGAGAAACAACAATGAACCGACAACAAGAGGACAGGAGCACAGGGTCTAAATACACACAGGTAGACACAGGTGTAGCACATCAGGGAGGGGCAAACAATCAACAAGACAGACAGGAAGTAAAACTTACGACAAGAGAACAAACATATCAAAATAAAACCAGATACATCAACAGAAAGTCCACACCATGACAGTGGTGCTGCAGCTGAGGACTTAGTTCTTCCTGACTTCCAGACTGAATTTCCATTTTCGATTCATGGCAATCTTGACAGAAGAATACACATATTAAATAACGAGACCTAAGCAAAAACAAAACAAAGACTTTTACATCACAAGGTCTTTTGTAGTAGATTTGGATGAGGTTCTTCATCCTCTCCGGTGGTTAAGCTCCATCCTGCCGTGGACTGCTCATTTGTGAGCGCTACAGATCGGCTTAGAACAACTTTATTCGACAATATACGGCTTCATGCAAATACGAATGGCAAACATTTTTTGTGTAAAAATACAAAAATATGGCCAAAACAAAGACAAACTTTGGTGCACACTATATAGAGATGATGATGATGATGATGATGATGATGATGATGATGATCAGTGTGTTTCTCTCATACAGAATAATCCCGTCCTCAGGCTGGACACAGATGCGATGCAGGTGTTGTGAGCAGACACTGACCTGTCGCCGGCCCTGATCCATGTTTGCTGCACATTCATCTGCTCCTTCCACTGCGGGCGGCTGGAGGCCAGCGGGACGACACACAGGCAACACTTTGTCCACACCACCCACACCATCACCGACATCTAACACCGCTCTGAGACGTCTGATGGAAGCCCTCTCCCCACCGCGCCACCAACCTTTGTGCAATTAGTCTGTGCTCCAAATGCCAGTGGTCACCGATCCTTCCTATACACCATTCATTAGGCTGCGATTTAAAGGGAAGGCTACAATCATCCCCTATGCCATACAACCCTGATCTGTCTATTTTGGTCACAATGGAGTGGACAACGTGACTGGGAAAAGTGGAGGCATTGTCAGGGCTTCGAATAATGGATCTATGTGTCATCCATTTGGGAAATGATCGCACTAAACATTTCAGAACCTCTGATACTGATTCTCTTTCGTATATAAACCACATGTATCATCCCAAAATGTGGCCGTTTCACACACAAAGGTGAAACAGGATGAGCAGAGTCTATAAACCAGTTCAAGGAGAGAACACAACATGGGAAAGAGTCAGACAAACAAAGAGCCTTTACGCCGGTCCTTGGTCCCTCCCATTTCACAAGTAACAGAAATAAAAGGTATCGACAAAAGGGATGGTATGTCATAATGATGTATGTTTTAGTTATGTTTTGACTCAGAATCTCCAGAATTGATTACCATTGATTTCTGGTGCAGGGATTTTAGGAGCGACCTTTGTGAGATGCATAACAGTTGGATTGAAGCTATTTCATGCTTTTACTACTTCCAGATTTGAGCCAATGTCGATTTTTTATTTCTATTTTATGTAAATATTTCACATTCAATCATCATTGCAATTTATATATTAAGCTATATTCCATATGTTTATCTTGCAACAGAGGACCTTATTTACATATAATCCACAAAGCCTGAAAGAAAAGGTATTTGTGGGCTAATATTTATCTCTCTGTTTGAACTATTTGTAGACGTGACGCGGTCTTGGTATAGTTTATTTCATAGAAAAAAATGAGCCAGTTAGTAATATCTAAACTGAAGCGTTTGCATGTATTATATTTGTTGAGAATGTCATCTTCTTTGAACAAATGTAGTTTTAAGTCCTCCAGGTGTTCTGTGAGTGAGTGAGTCGCGGTGTGGTTTTCACACAGCCTTTAACAGTGATTGAAGCTGTGATTGGTGTTGAGTGGAACCAGATCCAGACTGATGCGCTCACAGAGCTCTGTCTAATGTATCATCGATGGATTGACTTCCGTCTCGGAGGAGGCGTTTCGCGGGGATTTCAGACCATGCATTTCGGGAAACAGAAATCCAGTTGTGGCGTGTGCAGTGAGGAAACACGCCCTCTAGTTGGGCAGGATGGATGTACAGTGAGGATCAGCCCAAAGCGACACACAATCATCTCGCTCACTGTCCTCTCTCTCTCCGCTCTCAGCCAATCTGTGCGCGGTGACGCTGCGCAAAGGCTGGATCTGGAGTCCGCTGCACAGTTGTATTTAACACACCCCCCACATTCACACATGCCACAGAGGCGCGTCCTCCTGCAGCCTGTCCGCGCTGGGATCTAGCTCGAGTTGTAACCTGTGGGCCAACTACTTTTCCCGAGGGAGCTGCCCCATGAAAAGAAGCATGACTTACTGCAAAGTGACTTTTCCGGGATAGCAGATCGTCCCCGCGGCTCCTTGTGTCTCTGTACGCGGCTGATCGCGCAGTGGAGGCGCTGAGCTGTCGCCTGGAGCCTCTGGAGGATGTGGCTGTGGAGCCCGCTCTACCTGGACGGCTGTGGATGGCTTTACGCGCGTAAGAGAAGCTGGGACTAGTGCGAATCCAAAGTGTTGACACTGAATCCTTTACTCAAGACGGCCAGCGAAGATGGCTCCTATGTGTTTAATGTGTACTTGATAAGATTGGCGTCCAGTGTGATCAACATCATCAGCGATGTAGTCAGCCTCTTCATCTGCGTGCTCATCATCTGCAGAAAATACTCGCATCTGCTCAAGCGAGAGACCATGAAGATGATCGTGCTGCGTAAGTTCCGCGTCCTCATCCTGATGGTGTTCCTGGTCGCCTGCTCCATGCACATCATGATCGACCTGCTGCCCAAGCTGGAGCGCAGCAGCAACAGCGGCTGTTCCTGCTCGCACACGCCGAGCCAGGAGCCTCAGAACTGGGCCAAGCAGAGCTGGCCTAACAAGCACACGCTGCGGATCCTCCAGGACTTTAGTAATGAGCCCAACTCCAACGTGTCCTCGCACGCACTGGACAGGCTCCCGGGAACAGGGGACAAAAAGCAGTCTCTGCGGAGGATGGAGCTGAGGGGAGCGGACAGGACGCGCCCCCTCATCCAGGACGCGACTGTCACCAAGAGCGCGCCGCCCAAAGGCTCCAGGCTGGCCGCCCTGTACGACCACCCGCTGTATAAAAGAGCTGTGCCAACGCTCACAGACGAGGACACGCTGTTTAACGTCAACACGGACATCAGATTTGACCCCAAAGTGGTGGACGAGTCAGAATGGTAACCACATAATACTCACTGGGTTATAGGCCTGTGTTTCATTGTTTCTTAATAATAATGCCTTGTTTATCTCATAACTATGGTATTATTACTGTATAATAAGTAGACTCACCTTTTTAACATTTTTGTGTTGTAGCAACCTTTCACTAGACCATTGTTATTGAACACAAAGATTAGATAACTTCCCAGTTTCATCACTGTTCAAACCGGCTCTAAAAATCTGCCAAACAATAATAATTATTTTTAGCAATGACCCGAGCGAAACAAATACAACCCCTTTCTCACTCATGCACACCTCATCTTTCATTTGTCTCAGCAGCGTAGCCTCAAGTTTATCTAGCTGCAATCACGTCAATTCATCAAGCTGTTCCACAACACCTGCTCACGTCCCATAAATGAATCAAAGTCTGTCTCGCTTCAAATGTTCTTTCATGCAGGAACGGCGAAGGGGGCATGAATGAGTTCAGTCCGACCGGAGAGCTCACCGCCGACTCCTATCCCAACTGGCTGCGCTTCCATATTGGGATTAATAGATATGAGCTGTACTCCAGACACAATCCTGTCATTGATGCTCTCCTCAAGGACCTCGTCACCCAAAGGATCACGAGTGTGGGTGAGTGAAGGCCACAGAGCCACACAGGCCAAACTCACACCTACACTTGACATGCCATGCTGCAGCTGGTGCAGAGAAGAGAACTTGAACAACTTTGTGGTAGTGCTTCAGACAACAACAAAAATGGTTGACGAGAAAATACACTTTATAAAGCCATAATAGCTACAGGGTTTTGTTGAGTTATTCAAACTTGGATACTTGTTGTAATGTTTATTCTTACTCTCAAAACAGTTTCCTTCTAGTTTTCTTATGCATCTCAGTGGGCTCTTTTTCAGACAGAGAAGTGAAAATAGAAGACCGCCATCACTCAGCCAATCAGCTCTTACCAAAAAAGGTCAAATAGTGACTTACAAGGCTCTTTATTACAAGTATTTAAAGATGAAGACAGAATGGCGTGGTCTGATTTGTTCACAAAATGTTACTTTAGGTACTTCAGGTGCCCCAGCTTTAATTGAGGCTGCACTTACTTATATCTGAAAGTTCAATAAAACGTTTAACTCTATGTTGTCAGCCTAAAAGTGTTCAATACTCTACAAAGCAGTGAGCACAAATATGCAGTCCTCAACCGGGTCTGCAAGTCTGTGAGTGAGGCTCGACATGTCTACTGTGTGGAATGCTGCTCACATATTTCTTTGACATTGCACTTGTATTTGAGAAAAGGATGTTGAAACCAAGACAGGGGAGTTATGAGGAAATAAGGGGTGTGTTTGTGGGGGAGGGGCACCTGATGTTGGGTTGACAAGCTTTTTACAGTATTTGCCAAACAAGCCTTTTGTTACGTATGAGGTTACAACTGAACTGTCGCCAAACCAAGAAAATCATAAAATACACTTGGCTGTGTCATGGGAGGACATTTCAAGCAGTGACTCTGGTGGCGGATTACTGACAGGTGTATACTGTTGTTTAAAAAAGGAACTAAAAACACCCAGACGAAGCCGTTACTGCTTTTTGGACATTAAGATGGGCTGTACTGTTTTACAGTTGGATCGTCTTGCGCTTTGGCTCGGTTGCCTCCTTAAATTCCAATAGACTCAAGGTCGTTCTAAAGTGAGTGCAGATTTAGAAGTAACTGCCAATGAGTAAGCTTTGGCCTAGCAAACATGGATACAGAGTATTTATATACTGTAATACCTCTTTAGAATCCAGGAATCATTGTTTTGGTATGTAAATATTTGCAATATCAAATTAATGAAGTAAACAAAACAAAAACTATTTAAAATGGGTCCTGATGACCCACTTTTTTTAACCTTAACCTGCAGCATGTAATCAATAAAGCCACAAGAGCAATGGGTGGTCAGTGAAAACTGTTCTTTTGGAGCTCCCGAGCTTGAAATACTGGATAATGAGAGGGAACACCTGAATGAAGCAGTATCAAACATGTCACAGCTGTCTCCATGCAGATGTTTATAACCTGAAAGAGAGTGGTCTGTTATTCCACGAATGTGACATACTTTGTCTGATTTTCATTATGTTTGTCTTTAAACTCTAATGAGCCAATAATTAGTGATGTTGTTGTTTCCATGTGGCACATAACTCGTATCAGTGCCACTGGCCATAATAATAAACTCTGTTACTTATTTAGCAGGAGTCCACTGGCTTCATGCAAATCACTGAGATAGGGAAATGTTTACACATTAGATCAAGGAAGTGTTTTTACATTTTTACAAGTTTAAGACCGGTATTAAAATGCACTGTAGACTGTTGAATAAATATAAACATGTACAATATGTCCTTTCTGGTATCTGTGAGTTGCAAGTTGCAAAGTACAATTGCTGCTTGTTTTTGCAACCATTTGAAAATAATAATACTTTATTTCCTTGTGTGATGCTTCATCCTCACTGATTGGCAACACTGGATGTATTGTTTATAATATAGCAGTAATCTGTTTTCCTGCACTTTGAGTCTGGCTTTTACAGTAAAAACTAGGTCAGTGTTGATATCAGCTCAGAAACTTTAATTGTGCTTGAGGCTTCACACAGCTCCACTCCCTGACTGGTCAGTGGAGGAATTTCCTTCTCTTTCTATCTTTATACTAAGAAATAGCCCTGACTCTCCCCTCTGTCTGCTTTCTCCCGGTGGATAGAGGAAGCTGTTCTCAGCGTCTTTATCCAGCTAAATACATGCTGGCTCCATAATTACAGAGACTTCACACAGGCCCGGGGCAGAATACCAATACAAGCCAACAGCAGATGCTTATTATCTCCACTTAAGAATAGTGGGCGCTTTATGGGTTCAAAGTGCCTCAATTCGTCAATGAAGACTTGGAGATCGATTTCATATTTGTTATAAAAGTAAGTTATAGTGTTTTTGGACTGTGAACTCCGAGAGGAAATGTTGAGTATGCTTTATCCAACAAACAATGAAGTGCTCAGAACCAGGACTAAACATGGGGAAACAGCGATTCAGGAAAGGTTCAACGTTCAAGGTTCAACTTTACTGTCCCTGAAATGTGTCTGAGGCTCACAAACAAACAGACTCTCCACATCCAGACGATGGTCTGCACCACTCTAGAACAGAGCAGTAAAAGATTAAAAACAATGAACAAATGTCGCGACTAAAATCTGGAACAGTTTTTGTGAAAATGTGAGACAGGTACAAGTGCAGCGTAAAACAGCTCTGTACCTGTGTTTACAACGGAAAGACTGCACTTTTTATCATGTTTATGTTTCCGTTCTTGTTTTGTGAAGCACTTCCTTGATATAAATCATTAACCTCCAACATGCTGTCTTTGTCTTATTAGAAAACATTTTCTCTTTTACAAACTGGGAGCTGATTGGTTGAGTGAGGGCTGGTCCACTCTTGAAAAAGCTGATCCAAAGAGGTGACAGCTCTCGGCCAATGATAGTAATAATTGTACAAAGACATGGTTTAGGTTTAGGTACTAGTTATGTAGAGTTTATAACTACAATATGTTCCTTATTTCAAATTCATTACAAATATATCAAGTTACACTAACATATATGTATGTATATAAATATAAACATACATATATATATGTGTAAATAAATATACATACATATATGTATGTACATATATACACATACATATGCAGAATATGGAGCGATTACCTTGTCACTTCTAACCCACTACGAGCTGCATGTTGGAGGTAATTGAACCTGATTGAACCTGATTGAACCTGATGTATGCTGTTCAGCGGAGACCTGCTTTTTCACATTTCACCCAAAATCGATTGCGAGTCTTTGTAAACATTTTTCCTGTCTCCACAATTCCCATATGTAAAAATAAATGAGGGAATTGATTGTGCAGGTTGTACTTTTGTCAAAAGGCCACCAAAAACATTGTTCCGATCGATGTGCGGCTGCCCGCCTCAGATGTTTTTGGGAACACTTCAGGCTTGTACAATGTTGAGAGCAGAGTCCCACGAGGGCCTTCAGACTGCATTATCACGGAGGAGGCTTGAAGGGGACGGGGACAGAGATGAGAGGGGAGAGAGCTGGACGTCCTTCATCGCCTCCCGTCACGCACATCCACAGAGAACACGCTCTCCAACATGAATATAACTAAACAACTAAACATAGTCTTTGTCAATAAAAGCTGCTATTATGTTGCTCGGGGCCTCGGGAATATTATCTCAATATACAGTGGCTTTCAAAAGTACTAATAGAACATGAACTTTTGCTCGTTTGTCATGATTCCGACCAAAACAAGATTTTATATTGAACAGCCAGTGTGAAGTGAAAGAAAAATTATGTTAATTTCTTACAGAATTTTGTTGCCTTTGAAAATGTCCTAATGCCGGCTGACTACTGACTACTTTAAATAGAGCCCACCTGTGTGTGGTCTACTCTCAGTATTCTGTAACGGCCTCAGAGCTATGTTTAGAGTCACTAAACAGCATCATGAAGTCCAAGGAACCCCCAGAGGCCTTAGGAATAAAGTTGTGGACAAAGTTAAAGCAACATTAAGTTATAAAGATTCCAAAGCTTCAGACATCTCAGAGAGACAGTTCAATCCATTATTCAGAAACAGAAAGAGGAGGGCAGCACTGCAAATCCACCAAGATACGGCCGTCCAACTAACTTTTGGCTTAATTGGCCCAGAACATTGTCAATGTTCTGGGTAAATATCCGTCTATACAAATGTGTGTTATATGTGTGTGTACATATGTTAGTGTTATTTCAATCTAATGGTACAGATAGAATTTTAGACCTTTTGAGACCTCATTAGAGTACATTTGTAGTGAATTGCTTCTGACTATTTCTGTTTTTGTCTTACAGCTATGAAGTCTGGGGGCACTCAACTGAAGCTCATCATGACGTTCCAAAACTACGGCCAGGCCCTGTTCAAACCCATGAAGTAAGTGACGCCATGTTTGGTCTGAAGCTGATTTTTATATTATCTCGTCTTTCTCAAAATATCCATCTAGTCTCTTGATGTCAAATGGTTTTCATTTCTGGCCCACCTTAATTTTCTTTGATGGTTTTTCTGTGTCAGTCTTGAAGGCGCCCGGCTCATTGGGGTTTGTAGATGCACTGGTGTATTTTAATAGCATTTTTAAAGTCGCAAAAATCATTTCAAGCACATATTGATCTAGTCATTGTGGTCTATTGAACGGCGATGCACAGTGGGAGAATCTGGATCCTGATGGGCAGATATCATCGCATTCAAGTGAGGCATTTTTTACACTCTGTCGCCTGTTTATTCCACGATAAAGTCCTGACCCGTGATAGGCCCGTCTGTCGTCTCCACAGGGACAGATGCACACAGTAGATGGATGGATAGACGCCTAGATACATTCCTTACTGTGGAAATTTCCAAGTAACGAACAAAAGCGTCAGAAATGACCCTAATGATTGTGATTGGTACTTTGTGTCCTCGAGACATGTTATTATCAAGGGTGTTGTAAGTATTAGTGTTATGACAGTACAGTTCAGTAGCATGTGAGAACTAATGAGGTATTTTAAAAACTGACCTTTCTGACCTTTCCAAAACATTCAATACTTATATAGAACACATATTGTGGTATACAGGCAACATTTTCTCGTCTATTTAAAGCTGGCAGACCCATCCTTCACACCATACAAACATGGAATGATGTAAAACAGTTTTTCTATCAGTTTGGTTCTATCCCTTGTTTCCTTTCACCTTTAAGTGAAGCAATTAACAGACCCATTTCATCAACAGCGATTAGAGGGAGTTGGTCCATTAAATAATGAATCACATCAATTAACTACTGAAAGATTAAATAAAACTACGCCGCAAACAAAGTTCTTTTGATCTGGCGCCTGCCATATCTAACGAGACATTCACCTGTTTTCAGCAACAAGAGTGGGAGTGCCTAAATTATTATCTGAAGTGCAATTGCATGTAATCAGTGGTTAACAGTGATTATGGGCAAACCAGTTGTAGACGTCAGCGGACTCGCCCTGTTCCTGTAAAGTGGAAGTTTTGAATTCTAAAGTTGTAAATGTAAATTGGAAAGAAAGGACATTTATTTATTTATTTATTTGTGTTTATTTGAACATAGAATACATTTATAAGACAAAAGACAGTAAGAACAAAAGACACAAAAATAAAGAAAACTTATTCACGTTCAAAAGGAGTAGGAAGAAGCCAAAGCTTTTTAAATCCTACCCCTTTTCCCTATTTTAATTCAATATATCCATACATACATACACATATATACATACATATAATTACAGTTGAAAATAAAATAAATGAACAGTAACAAATCTTGACTCTTTGACACATCATATGCCTCAATTCTCTTGTACCCTTTATATTCATTCTATTCACACCCGCCGAGAATATCTTAACTGGGTCCCATCCTTTAATAACCGCTGTGAGGGACATGTTTTACTTTCCTTGGGGGTAATGGCCGGCAGCTTAAACAAGGGCAAACTACGATAAAGCAATGTTGCAGATTCCAGCCATTTTGAATGAACCATATTTCTCCAACAGTTTCCACCTTATTGCCACAGTGTGAAGATGTCCCATTTCCTGACACTTTGGAAGCGATAACCCGCCCCCAGAGAAGTGGTCTTTACTCATAATCCGTCCTGATTGGTGGATTAAAATGACACTCGTCCTTTTGTCATGGCGATTGTAATTTAATTGAAGGTTAATGATTTAGCACACAGCCTGTTGTTTGGAGGTTAAGTCTGGGATGATAGCGACAAGCCTTTTTCTCAGTGGGAGCAAAAGCTCTTGTAATTACTCAATGTGAAGACATGCAAAGACGACTAGTCTGGTTTTTTAAATGTGGCATAACGTAACAAATACTGTACTTAATAAATTCTAAATAATAGAAACAAATATAAACACATTCTAGTCAAGCAGAATATGATTTATTAGTGTAGTGAAGAGTTAGTGAATTGATCAAAAACAAGAAATCCCAAATGTATCCAGATCTAGTTAAAGCTGGCGTACCTGACTTTCAAACCAGAGAAAAGAGAACTAAGTCATAAAATAAATCTCATTTCCTTGCCCTCAATGTTCCGTCTCCACATAGAAAAGTGACATAATAAGTTCACTCTCAGCTCAAAGTGTCGGATAATGCTCTTTCTCACAATAATGTTTTTGAAAAAGCATGATATGCTGTATTCGTTCACAACATTGTACTTTTAAATGTTCATCCCAAATACATCCCAGAGCACAATTTTCATTCATGTAAGCTTAAAATCAAAGACATACAATCACAATGTGACAGCCATTGTTAGATCATCAGTTAGATTACAAATATGAAATGCACACGCATTATTTTCGATCATCAGCGATCCACAGGCAAAGCTTCAGCTCCTGACCGCGCTGCAGGTGTGAGGTGGATGTAGCAGATGTGATTTCAGAGAAACACCGAATGTTGTGCCTCTGTCAGAAAGCTCTGATAATCTCAAACTTTCTGGCTTTAATCTGAATCTGGGGCTACAACATGGAATTACATTTTCCAGAGAGGCTCTGTGCCGATGGAGGGTGGATGTGAATGCTTTGACGGTTGGGCTTGTCAGGTTTGATAATAATCCACACAAACCCGGAACCCGAGGAGTCTGGCCTGTCTCTTGTCTCTGCTCTGGACTTGAATGCACCTGTGAGAGAAGAGCCCACAAGAGCTGTAATAAAATCCATAATCTTTCTAAATGTTCGGAGGTTGCATATATTTATACATACATGTATAATTTTTTATCTGAAAAAGGGAACTTCCCTCACCCCAAAGAGAGCCAACCAGCTCTCATCCCAGAGAGGTCAGATAGTTACGCACAGGGTTTTCAGTATACAACAGGTCAAATGTAACACTACTTTTCCTCAAGATAAGTTGAATCTGGCATATAATATTGCAAATATAGCTTGTTCTGTGTTCTTTGAATCTGGTGGAGCTTTCCCAACCATATCATCACATGACTATAAGTTATGCAATGAGCCTTTATTGTGGAGGCCAGTATATCATACATTTCACGCCTTTTACTCTACACCCACTCACTGTCACAAACTGCACATTACTGGAAAAATTAGCCCAAATATGGAGTAAAGGAGCTTAAAGGGCCTAAGTTCCTGACAGTCGTACACCGTCAGTTTCCTCGACACGCATCGCTTCAGGATGATGCTCCACGTGGTGCATCAAAGAGCACACAGAGCCGCAGATCAAAGACAGAGCCGGCAAGCCTCTTAATGCTAATGTGAGCCAGGCGATCGGGACGCACGGCTTTCTGGGCCAGCAGTGGCCCATGCGCTGTCCTCCGCTCACAGCTCCTCAGTGCGTTCTCTGTTTAGTCTTACCTTTTTGTTACACAGCTGCTGATTCTCATTATTGAGAATTATTATTATTTTCGCTTTATTGAAATCACAATCATTGAAATCAATTCCAGTCATGATGTCCGTTTGGTAAAGGTGTATGAGTGTCTTTGCACGTACCATTCAGAGTTCATACGGTTCTTACATGGAAAACCTGGAAGCAAAATATAAATGACATTTCCAGCCCCAAGAAATGTTTTATTTTTATTTGTTTGACTGGAAATGTTTTGGAAATTCAGAAGATTTGTGTATTGTGTCGGCGAGGACTAGTTTACTTATGTTCCTACGATTACCTTCTCAGCGCCTTATTGACATTTGTGCAAAGAGGGATATTTCTTATATTTGTATAAAATATATAAATTGACTATATTTTTTGGGGCGACAGTAGCTCAGTTGGTAGAGCATTGGCCGTTAGGCCTGAAGGTCGTGGGTTCATTTCCCACCTTGACACCTTCTCCACCGACTCCCACTGATGACTGCTGTCGTTGTGTCCTTGGGCAAGACACTTAGACCCACTTTGCCCAAAGCCCCCGCTGAAAGATCAAGGCTATGCTCACACTCAGAGAGCAGCCGTCCTCCTGTGGACTCACCACCTGCAGAGGGTCAGTGAGGGGCTGGTGCTATGAGACTTGGGTGGCATCTCTGACTGCCACCCCCCTGACCCAGAAATGGATAAAGGGTAGAAAATGGATGGATGGACTATATTTTGTAGTTAATGTAAAATGTAAACTGTAAGCTATCAATATATTTGTAAATATGTCAGCAGATGGTGGAACCTCTTAAAGAGTGTATGTACAGTATAATTGTATGTGTGTGTGTATGTGTATGTGTATGTGTATGTATATGTGTATGTGTGTGTGTATGTGTATGTGTATGTGTATGTGTATGTGTATGTATATGTGTATGTGTGTATGTGTTTGTGTGTGTGTATGTGTATGTGTGTGTGTGTGTGTGTGTGTGTGTGTGTATGTGTATACTATATGTACAATAGGTGAAACTATTTCTACTTTATTTAGGCTACAATCTTTTTGTTTGTATTTGATAACGTCCTGCTTAAATCTTTAAAGTAAATGTTCTGAAATTATAATTCGATTTGAATACTTCATTTTGAGCCATACAGAAAGAACTGTACCCACTTACAGCAACACATGAAGAACAAAACAACACAAAAAGGTTCAAGGAGGATCTGTAAAACCTGAGAGAAAAAAAGAGTTTGGCTCAAAAAGTGAAAGTAGATACTACTGGAAAAAGCAAACAAAATGAAAAGTAAGTATGAACATTTTCAGTCTCAAAGGACTGATGAAAACAGTGGTAAACTTCATGAAAAGTTAAACTGTAGTTTATTATTATGAATTGTATTCATTTCTCAGTTCCATCCGATTATCTGCACTCTAAGCTATGAATTTCATTCACCAATTGACGATCATATTTGCATCAGTGTCTTGCAAATAGTATATTCTTTATCCTCTCCCCCAGCACTTTTCTAAAAGATCCCTCTGTCATTTTGTTTGTTCTTCTGCTTCCCAATCTCGACCAAATGCCAGAAATCCATTAGCGCTGTTGCCACATCGATCTCGCAGGCCTTTCTTCTCATCACGCACACAATCATCTCTATCTCCTTGGTTTTATTTAGTCCCTTGATCTTGTGTGGGTGAGCCGGCCACACCTCAGCATTATAGACCGATGATTCAGCCCCGAAGGCTATTTGTGGTCCACTGTTCCAGACGCCAAACAAACCCCGGCTTAACTAACTCCGTCTTCCGAAAGACAGGAGGGGATCGGAGTTCCTGTGGAGGCAGACCTACGTTTACAGACATGACGTCATTTCACCAGAGAAACATTGTTTTTTTCGTTCATTACACTTCCATTCTTCATATTCTGTCCTGCTGTGATGTCACAAAGCTGTGAAATACATATTCACTTTCCAAAGGAGCCCAGACTAATATATTGGGTTGAAGTAATGTAACAGTACCCTCTGTGCTGTGGTGTTGGTCAGGGCCTTGATCCCAGTGTGTTCTGCGTCTCGCTTTCGTCATCACCGTGTGGAGGGAATTTGTTGACCTTGGTCTGTGACTCTGCTCTGTGAAATGCACTATATACATGAAGATGACTTGCTTATTTACTTACTAGGTATACAGAGGAATTACTGTTTAAAAAGATATAATTTTTGAACCGTTCCGTGGCGTTGTGTTTCCCCCGTGGTGTGGATGGTGAGTCAGGCTGACCGCTCCACATGATGGACAACAGGATACGAGCAGCTGTAGTCTAAAAGGTGCAAAAGGCAGAATAATGTATTTAGAACAAGCCACATAGAATTATAGAGAAAAAATATTCCACAAGCAGAATAAACAACTGTTGACCCCACTCTCATTTCTGTGAGGAGTGAGATGTTGAAAGATTACAATTGGAAGAGAGTAAAGATTACTTACTAACTTAACCAATTGGAAAGCTGTTTTTGTGAGGGAGCAGTGCAAGAGAAAGTGTTATCAAACATTACATAGACATCGAACTAAGAACGTTTTTCTGAGTTCATGCAGTTTTCAAGTAATGCTATTATCACAGGATAGACCATTATGAGCTATGATCTTATTTGTCTTATTTTTTTTCCTAACAATTGAATTATAATCTTATAAAGATAAACAAAAAGAATGAATGCCAAGCAAGGATTCAGACCAATGTGAGATCTATTTTATTGGTATGCCACTCGTGCCGTTCTGGGTTTCAGCCACCAAAGCCAAGACAGAATAATAAAGAAAATAACAGACCAATATGTGGTTACAGTGGACATGAAATAGCACTCTCACTTCAGGATATTTGAGAATTGAAGGACATTCAAAGCTTCAGGAATCTTCAATCTAAAATACTACTAGCTGGACTCCTGCGTCTCGTACGTGTCCAGCGACCTTGAAGGAAATAACAGTGACTTCCATGTACTACCTTGTCCGCTCTTTTCCCCACTGCCATGTTTTTGTCAAGCACATAAAGAGGCACGAACTCCAAATGTGTCGCTTGAGAAATGCTTTGGTGTTGAAGAGGGCTGTTATCCCCGCAGCACGGTGTAAAAGTGCATTTGAAAAGGCATGCGCCTATTGGGGAGTCCGCCCTTTGAGGTGCTCTCCAGGCCGCAATAATACAGCCATAGTGTCCATGCTGCTGTGGCCGGCAGGATGTCCGAGGGCTGCTGTGGTCACTTTGTAAACGTGAAAGGAAAGGCCGCGTGTGCTACACTCAAGTTTAGAATTTTTTCACACCACTTCCAAAAGCAGCGCTACTAATTAACAAGTGATTAGTATTAGTAGAAGGACTAATAATGAATGATAAAGTCTTTTAATTGTGTCTCTCCTGCTACTGTCGTCTGAAGTTATGTATACTGTATATGGAAGCCCCTCCCCCCGCTGTGGGATTGGCCAGGGACATTTGATTGACACATGGGGGAGTCAAAGTGGGAGGTGGGAGATAGTGTCACCTAGCTGAAGTCAATAATGTATCGACATGAGGGCGGATAAGAGCCGGGGGCGAGGGCTACAGCTCCGTGAACGAGATGGAGGAGACTCATGAACTACTGTAGAGAAACCACATCCAGACAATACTTCACAGACTGCACACATTACAGTAGAGAAATTATAACAATGTTTTATCAGAGCGTATCATATGATAATAGCACAGTGCACATTTATTAGCAACTGATCTTTGTTGTTTTTTTAATCAACCCGCCGTATTTCTTGAAATACTTTATGCTAATAATGCAATGGCAATTTTACAAACAACTGTGTAGCAACTATAGCATTATCAGATTGCGTCGGGCTTTTCAATGATAGCAACTGTTCTGAAACAAATCATTAGAAACATGGACCTGACGGAGCGTTTTGTCTTTTAACGGTTCACATCACTGGCTTTATTTTTACAGTAACAATATTGTTCTGCAAGATGAGTTGTTATAAATGCAACCATGAGTCGGGGCCACTCAGCCGCAGCCTCGTCTTACATCAGAACAGTAATAATTGGGCACAGAGGTAGCATCAGTAATTAAAGCAAACACGCCTGCAGCAGCGCTCTGCAGAAGCACATCAATAAGACTACGCTCTTTCTATTTGCATTCTTTAGCAGCTTTTAGGGAGAGCCCAGTTCCTATAAAGGTCTTATCTGATACATGTGTCACTCCTCGCTCAAATTCTATCAGTTCAAATGTATAAAAATAGATCAAACACAAACAGATACAAACAAGAAGTAACACAATAGGTTAAACTATTCACAGTTTGGGCCGGTGCTTGTACATTTCTGTTCGCAACTGTACAAATTAGAGCTTAACAAAGATATAACACGTTTTCTAACCAAAACGTGAAACACAGAAACAGTTAAAGTTTCTCTACAAAACCAGGGACTGAACATAATGTGCCAGCACCGGGTGACGTGTTTACATCAAAGACACAAAGGTTGGTGGAGTTCAGCCGCCTTGAGCTGTGGGAGGTTCAGGTTCTAAGGCCCCGCAGGCTCGGCAGGAGGACAGGGACGACGGAGGATACTATGGCACTCACCAAAGCCATAGTAGAATATATATGGATCAATGTAACAGGAAAGAGTCTCAGTGTTTTCACTTTTGATGGAAGACTTTTATTGCAGCTATTTTTTGTCAACATCAAACAAATGTTGTAGCGTATTATAAAACGCAAAAACGACAATAGTGTAAATGCCAAATCCATCAAAGGGTAAAATGAGATTGATTTAAAAATAGTCCATCCATTCAAGCTATTATCAATTCGCTTTTGCTTTCAAAATGGCAAATGCAGACTCACAACCTGTTCCATTATGTAATTCAAAACGACACACACAGAAAAGTTACAAAAGTCAGTGTTGCCGAAGTGGATAGGTTTGTCGAGA